TGAAGCCCCATGAGAAGAACTACCCCGTTCATGATTTGGAGTTGGCTGCCATTGTCCATGCGTTGAAGATTTGGAGACATTATTTGTATGGTGTATCCTGTGAGGTGTTTACTAATCATCGTAGCCTCCAGCACTTGTTCAAGTAGAAGGATCTCAATTTGAGGCAGCATAGATGGTTGGAGCTGCTAAAGGATTATCATATCACTATCTTGTACCATCCGGGAAAGGCTAATGTGGTAGCCGATGCTTTGAGTAGGAAGGCGGTGAGTATGGAAAGTTTGGCGTATATTCCTGTTGGTGAGAGAACTCTTGTAGTTGATGTTCAGGCCTTGGCGGCCAATCAGTTCGTAAGGTTGGATATTTCGAAGCCCAATCGGGTATTAGTTTGTGTGACTTCTCGGTCTTCCTTATTTGATTGCATCAGAGAGCGCTAGTATGATGATCCTCATTTGCTTGTCCTTAAGGACAAGGTCTAGCACGACGATGCCAGATATGTGACTATTGGTGAGGATGGGGTTTTAAGGACGCATGGCCGGTTATGTGTGCCCAATGTAGATGGATTTTGGGAGTTGATTGTAGAGGAGGCCCATAGCTTGCCGTATTCCATCCATCCAGGTGCCGTAAAGATGTACCAGGATTTGAGGAAGCATTATTGGTGGAGAATAATGAAGAAGGATATTGTGGGATTTGTAGCTCGGTGTTTCAATTGTCAGCAGGTGAAATATGAGCATCAGAGACCTGGTGGCTTGCTTCAGCAGATAGATATTCCATAGTGGAAGTGGGAGCGGATTACCATGGACTTTGTAGTTGGACTCTACGGACTTTGAAGAAGTTTGATGCTATTTGGGTGATTGTGGATCGGCTAACCAAGTCCGCGCACTTCATTCCTGAGTGTACTGCCTATTCTTCAGAGCGGTTAGCAGAGATCTATATCCGAGAGATCGTTCGCTTGCATAGTTTCCATCATTTTAGATAGAGGTACTCAGTTTACTTTACAGTTTTAGAGAGCTGTGCAGTGAGAGTTAGGTACTCAAGTTGAGTTGAGCACAACTTTTCACCCTCAGACGGATGGGCAGTCCGAGCACATTATTCAGATATTGGAGGACATGTTGCGCGCTTGTGTCATTGATTTTGGAGGGTCATGGGATCAGTTCCTACCACTCGTAGAGTTTTCTTACAACAATAGTTATCAGTCGAGTATTCAGATGGCTCCATATGAGGCTTTATATGGGAGACGGTGTAGATCTCCAATTGGTTGGTTTGAGCCGAGTGAGGCTTTTTCGCACAGACTTAGTGCAGGATGCTTTGGATAAGGTGAAGGTGATTCAAGAGCGGCTTCATACAGCGTGGTCGAGATAGAAGAGTTATGCTAACAGGAAGGTCCGTGATGTGTCTTACATGGTTGGGGAGAAGGTTCTAATGAAGGTTTCACCCATGAAGGGTGTTATGAGATTTGGGAAGAAGATTGAGTCCTCGGTTCATTGGGCCTTTTGAGGTACTTCGGAGGATTGGGGAGGCGGCTTATGAGCTTGCTTTGCCACCCATCTTATCGAGTGTGCCTTCGGTATTTCATGTTTCTATGCTCCGAAAGTATATTGGCTATCCGTATCATGTTTTGGACTTCAGCAAGGTTCAGTTGGATGGTGATTTGACTTATGATGTGGAGTTAGTGGCTATTTTGGAGCATCAGGTTTGAAAGTTGAGATCTAAGGATATAGCTTTAGTGAAAGTGCAGTGAGAGGTCGGCCCATGGAGAAGGGTATCTGGGAGACCGAGCGGGAGATGCGGAGCAAATATCCTCACCTATTTGAGGCTTCAAGTATGTTTCTTGACTTGTTCGAGTATGAACATTTGTTTAAGAGGGGGAGGATGTAACGACCCGGCCAGTCGTTTCATGAGTTACCGCTCGATTTCCCCCATTCCTGCTTCTTTATGTGTTGTTCAACTACATTTTATTATATCAGATTGGTTGGTTCGGGTTCAGAGTGGTTTTGGAGAGGTTTGAGACACTTAGTCTCTTTTGAGTAAGCTTAAGTTGGAAAAGTCAGCCGGACATTGACATATGTGAAAAAGGGCTCGGATGTGAATTTTGATAGTTCAGATAGCTTCATGAGGTGATTAGGTACTTAGGGGTGTGTTCGGAACGTAATTTGGAGGTCCGTGGTAGATTTAGGCTTGAATTGACGAAATTGGAATTTCGACATTGTCCGATTGGTAGTGGAAATTTTGATATCGGGGTCAGAATGGATTTTTGAAAGTAGGAGTAGGTCCGTTGTGTCATTTGTGACGTATGTGCAAAATTTCAGGTCATTCGGAGGTGGTTTTATAGACTTTTTGATCGTTTGCAAAATTAACAAGTTTTAAAATCCTTAGGCTTAAATCCGAGGGTGATTTGGTGTTTCGACATTATTTGGAGTTATCCAAAGATTGGTATAAGTTAGAATAGTAGTATATGACTTGTTCGTACTTTCAGTTGAGGTCCCGGGGGCCTCGAGGTAATTTCGGATGGTTATCGAGAAGTTTGGAGATTTGTTGGAGCAGCTTCAGCTGCTGATTTACTGTCATAACCGCACCTGCGTATTGGGGACCGCAGCTGTGATGACTGCAGAAGCAAGATGAAGCCACAGATGCGGCCACAGGTGAAGAAGGCAGAAGCCGCAGATGCGGAGAGTGGAGCTCACCTGTGAAGGCGCAGGTGCGGATATTTGATCACAGGTGCGGTAAGGGCAATGTAATGAAAAATCGAAGAAGTGGTTGGTTATGCACAGAAGCAGACCCGCAGGTGCGGTATCGCTGGGCAGAACATATAAATAGATACCTTCGCAAATTTTTGCTAAGTTTCACCATTTTTGAAGACGGGAAGAGAGCTAGGGCTGTGATTTTTCAAGGAAAATGAAGGACTTCAGTTGGGTAAGATTCTTAAGCCTTGTTATTTGTGTTTATGGCCATTTTCCATTATTTAGTCATGGTATTAGTGGAAATTAAGGAGGAAAGTTGGGAGATTAGGGCTTGGAATTGGAGACTTTGATTTAGGGATTTGAAGGGTTGTTTGTGATTGAATTTTGGTGTATTTGGTATGTATGAACTCATGAGAATGTAAGCATTCTAGTTTTGTGAATTTTATCGGAATCCGAGATGTGGGCCCCGGGGTCAGGTTTGACCAATTTCTGGAATTCTGATGTAATTTGATTATTTTCGCGTGGGCTTTGTTCCCTGAGTATATATTGATGTTATGGTTCTGATTTTGGTTAGATTCGGTCCATTTGGAGTCTGAATCAAGAGGAAAGGGCATCGCGGGCTAGAGTTTCGCTTGGCTTGAGGTAAGTAACGTCACACCTCCTTTTTACACACCCGAAGGTAGTACAAGGGAGTTTTTCCAATTTAAGTGACATTATTCGAAATGAGATTATTTATTTTATTTCAGAGTCGCCACTTGGGATATTTTAATTGGTGTCCCAAGTCACCGGTTTATTTTAAATCCCAAATCGAGGAAATTTAGACTTTTCTTTTGAAGTCTGCGAACCAGAAATTCTAGATAAGGAATTCTGTTAACCCGGGGAGAAGGTGTTAGGCATTCCCGGGTTCTATAGTTCTAGCACGGTCGCTTAGCAATTTATATTTGGCTTAATTGTTTAACTACACATTTTTAAGACCTATGTGAAATTATCTTTTTACCGCTTTTAAAAACTTGATTTATTTGTAATTAAAGAATTGAGTTACGCATACATATACTCTTTTCTTTTGGCGCGTCAAAAATCATGTCACGCGAACGTGTCCACAATTAATAACGCTTTGTTTATTTTATTAAGAAAAGTTTGATTGAAGTTGCGCGAACGCATACCTCGAGTCTTTTGAGAATTTAGTTTGCAATAATATTATGCGAAGTATATATAATCGCAATACTAATCTAAATCGGGCCTAAAGCAAACTACGAGTGTTCATTATTTTTCCTAAATTATTTGCTTTAAGAAGAAATTGACATTGCGCACCAGTTCAAGCAACGAGGAAGATGGTTGCAACAGATGTGTCGCAAAACTTCCATCTTACTGTTAGTCCTTATACCAGTATGCCACAATTCAACTTAACCATTCTTGTTTATATGAACACCAAACAATTACAAGCTTTTTATAATTTGACATACCTTAGGACAAATTCCCAAGAGATGCAAGCAGCCATATTCTAATTCACTACCTCGTTCAAAACACAATATTGTCGAAAAACACATGTACATGCAACATGGTATAGCACCAAAAGAATACAGGGGATAAAGTTAAAAGAATGTAGTAACATAATGACCATAGGTTCTTGTACAACAATCTTGCTTTTTGCATTCCTTTAATAGATAAACATATAGTGAAAGTTTTTAACAAAAATAGAAAAAACAGATCCACAACATTGTGCGAACGGTGACAACTTGTTCAAAATCATACGCATCACAGAAACCACTCCACCTTTCACATTTAGCAAATTTAGTACTTCAGCAAATTAATCTCTTTTGCTGTTGTGTTAACTTATGAAGATAGGAAATTTTGAGCAGGTGAACGTTTTTGAGATGTTCTGGACCGATGACATTTGCATATTATGTTGAAGTAACCTGTGTTTTGCATCACACGAGGTTGACTAGTTTTGACTAAAATAACAGTTAACAGTTAACAAGAGTGCTGAAACAGAGAATTTTGTTTGAAAACTGATACTTTGGAAGCAGGAAAACTTCCATGGCAAGGCATTCTTCCCAAAGTTGAAAATTATCTAAAACAAATTTGCAGATCAATTATACTACAACCAAATACTAGTATAAAATTCAAAACCATGTGCCTAATGCTTCATCCAATTTTACTTTCTATGGAAAATATTCAAAGATCCATTTGGACAGCAAATTGACGTCTCAAAGCTTCAAAACTTCGGCAAAGGATTTACATTTCTTCCCATTTGAACTATCAACATTTCATTAAACAACTTATGGTAACATACTGTCTAACCAAAATCATAGATTCAACACCTCAAAATCAACCAAAATCATAGCTTAGCAAACTCGCAAAAGGAAAACAAGAATTTGCTATCAATCAATCGTGGAAATGAAACAAGTAAAACCACAATCATCCCATACAAATCTCACCTAAGAAAATATGAGCTTTATATCATTCAACCCAAAGTGTCATACCTGATTACATCAGAATAAACAACAAAGAAGTATATCCCTGGTCCCAAATGACTGAATTGTAAGCTCTTCTTTACTTCAACCCAGCCCGATTAAGCTATGAGCAGAAAACAGCTAAAAGAAACACAGCTCCAAAATCTCAATAAGGTTCAGCAGCAACAAGAACCCGCACATGAATCACGAATACGAGTCGGAATCACGAATGCACTGATTTGAGAATCGATCAAACTCTACTATAAAAAAAAATCAAACGTCAACAAATTGCAGAGTTTTTTTTTTAATTTTTTTGACTCTTTTAGAATGAAAAACTTGAACGAAGAAACAAGAAAAAAAAAACTCAGATCATTGCGCCTTTTTCGTATGTTTTCTGAAGGAAAAACTAAAAAAAAAAGTCTGAAGAGGGTGACCACTAAAAACCTAGAAAATTGCTTGACTAAGTTTTTTGAGATTTTTTTCCGATTTTTTTCTCTATATTTCTCTCTCCCTGATTTTTTCTCTGATTTTCTCCTTGATTTTTCTTCCCCCCATAACATAATACTCACCTCATATATATAGTCTTCAAGATCTTTAAGAAATCTGCCCAAAATCCGAAAAATCTCCCAAGTTTTCGAACAATTTTGGGACATATGGAGGGCGTGGATTGATTCACATCTATCTGTGGCTCCCATTCGTCGTACAATCGTCCTTTTTGTACATAAATCGTGCAATTTTGGAGAGAAAATTTGTACCCCTCTCTGACAAAACCGTTGGGAATCAAATGACGTGGAGGGGAGAACCATTTTGAGTGAACTCGGGTGAGTTAATGGTGAGTTGGGCGAGTTGAGAGTGGGGAAGATGAAGGAACAGTAGAGTTGGGCGCCGCACCTCTGATTTGTTAAGGTTAGGGTTCAAATGGGGAAAAATTATAAGAAGATTTGGTGGGTCTGCCCGGTTTGGGCTAGGGCGGACCGGTGGGAAAGGGGTTCTTTGGGCCGAATTTGGGTGTGTTTAAAAATGGCCCAAAACCAAATTAAAACCCTTGTCTGCAATTAACTTCTTTTATTCTTTTCCCTTTCTTTTTATCTCTTTTTTGAATTAAAAATCCTAAATTATCTAAAATATAAAATTAAACTAATTAACTAATTATAGAAATTGTAAACATTAATTTAATCTATATTAAAAGTGGAAAATCAATAAATTAAAAAAAACTAAAGGACAAAAATGCAAAAATGAGCTATTTTTGTGATTTTCAAATTTTATAAAACAAATAATTACTAATTAATTCTAAAAATGCAAAAACAAATCCTAAATTCAATGCATGATATTTTTGGTATTTTCATGATTTAAATAAAAATTAAATAGGCAAGAAAAATGTAAACTATTAATAAAATCTACAAAAATTCCGAAAAATGGCCAGTAATCAATAAAAAATCTATTTTCTTAGATTTTGTAAGAGTATTTCATGTATTGCAAAAATCACGTGCTCACAGCTTCCCTTCTTTGCTCGGAGACACGAAGAGTTTTTGGGCAAAGATAAAATGAGCAATTACGAGGGATTTTTGCCCGTTTGAAACTCCATGAAAAGAATTTTTTGAAAGAATCTGACCGAACCTTGCTTCAGAGGTTGCCTACATATCCTTGGCTATAAAGGAATCAGGTCAGTGTAGTTCTGGAAGTTTTGATAGCTGGGACTACCGGAAAGTTGTGATTTCACTGCTGTTGCTGCTTGCTGTGCTCCTTATTACATCAAAAATGAAAAATAAAAAGCTAATCTAGCTAAACCTATCAGCTACAAGTTACAAGATTCCTATCTATAAATCTTTTGATGCTTGATCTTGAGTCTTGGATAGTTCTCGCTGCAGACTCCGATCTAAATCTTGACGCTCGTCAACTGTAGGTGCTGGTTCTTTCTTCAGCTTTGGATCAAGGCGGGACATGCGAAGCTTGTGACTTCAATCATACCTTGAGCAGTTCGCGTCTTTCTCCACTTCAGCACTTTGAGTTCACTTCTTTTTTGTTCTTTTTGTTCTTTTCTTTATTTTGGATTGAGACTCATTATTTTGGTCATCTCGAGTCCTGTGCCTCGAGGTCAAACCTACTCAGACACCAAAATAAACAAACGAACGAAATTTTTCTGCACCAGTTTTCACTAGGAAAATTTCGTGAGTTATTTGTAACGAAAATCTAAACTATTTTTTTAAAGCAATAAAATTAGGATTGTGTATCTTCAGGAGAAAGAGATTAGGGAATGAAGACCTATATCTAAAAATTCTCAACTAAGGGATTGGAGCCCTAATGTTGGTAAAAGACGACTAAGGAATGGAGACCCTATATCTAAAAATCTCAACTCAGTGATTAGAGCCCTAATGTTGGCAAAAGTAGACTAGGGAATAGAGACCCTATGTCTAAAATCTCAACTTAGGGATTGGAGCCCTAATGTTGGCAAAAGTAGACTAGGGAATAGAGACCCTATGTCTAAAATCTCAACTTAGGGATTGGAGCCCTAATGTTGGCAAATACAACTAGGGAATGGAGGCCCTATGTCTAAAAATCTCAACTCAGGGATTGGAGCCCTAATGTTGGCAAATACAACTAGGGAATGGAGGCCCTATGTCTAAAAATCTCAACTCAGGGATTGGAGCCCTAATGTTGGCAAAGGCGACAAGAGAATGGAGACCCTATGTCTAAAAATCTCAACTTAAGGATTGGAGCCCTAATGTTGGCAAAAGGCGACTAGGGAATGGGGGCCCTATGTCTAAAAATCTCAACTTAAGGATTGGAGCCCTAATGTTGGCAAAAGGCGACTAGGGAATGGGGGCCCTATGTCTAAAAATCTAAACTCAGGGATTGGAGCCCTAATGTTGGCAAAGGCGACTAGGGAATGGAGGCCTTATGTATAAAAATCTCAACTTAGGAATTGGAGCCCTAATGTTGGAAAAGGCGACTAGGGAATGGAGGCCCTATGTCTAAAAATCTCAACTTAGGGATTGGAGCCCTAATGGTTGCAAAAGGTGACTAGAGAATGGGGGCCCTATGTCTAAAAATCTCAACTCACGGATTGCAACCCTAATGTTGGCAAAGGCGACTAGGTAATGGAGGCCCTATGTCTATAAATACCAACTCGGGAATTGGAGCCCTAATGTTGGCAAAAGGCGACTAGGGAATGGAGGCCCTACGTCTAAAAATCCCAACTTAGGGATTGGAGCCCTAATGTTGGCAAAAGGCGACTAGGGAATGGAGGCCCTACGTCTAAAAATCCCAACTTAGGGATTGGAGCCCTAATGTTGGCAAAGGCGAATAGGGAATGGAGGCCCTACGTCTAAAAATCTCAACTCAGGGATTGGAGCCCTATTGTTAGCAAAAGGTGACTAGGGAATGGAGGCCCTATGTCTAAAAATCTCAACTTAGGGATTGGAGCCCTAATGTTGGCAAAGGCGACTAGGGAATGGAGGCCCTATGTCTAAAAATCCGAATTCAGGGATTGGAGCCCTAATGTTGGTAAAAGGCGACTAGGGAATGGAGCCTTATGTCCAAAAATCTCAACTTAGGGGTTGGAGCCCTAATGTTGGCAAAGGCGACTAGGGAATGGATGCCCTATGTCTAAAAATCTCAACTTAGGGATTGGAGCCCTAATGTTGGCAAAGGCGACTAGGGAATGGATGCCCTATGTCTAAAAATCTCAACTTAGGGATTGGAGCCCTAATGTTGGCAAAGACAACTAGGGAATAGAGGTCATATGTCTAAAAATCTCAACTGAGGTATTGGAGCCCTAATGTTGGCAAAAGGCGACTAGGGAATGGAGGCCCTATGTCTAAAATTTCATCTCAGGGATTGGAGCCCTAATGTTGGTAAAAAGGCGACTAGGGAATGGAGGCCCTATGTCTAAAATTTCATCTCAGGGATTGGAGCCCTAATGTTGGTAAAAAGGCGACTAGGGAATGCAGCCTTATGTCTAAAATCTCAACTCAGGGATTGGAGCCCTAATGTTGGAAAAAAGGAGACTATGGAATGGAGGCCCTAAGGAATGGTAATGGGAAATGATCTTTTCTCGTCACCTTGTTAAGCTTCTGGTAATCCATACAAACTCTCCAACCCGTTACTGTCCGAGACGGAATAAGCTCATTGTTGTCATTGGTCACAACAATCATCCCACCCTTCTTCGGTACACATTGTATCGGAGAAGTCCATGAACTGTCAGAAATAGGATAAACCACACCGACGTCAAGCCACTTGATAACCTCTTTCTTTACCGCTTCTTGCATCTCCTCATTTAGTCTTCTTTGATGTTCAAGTGAAGGCTTTGCATCCTCCTCCAAGATGATTTTATGCATGCAAAAGGCGGGGCTTATAACCCGAATATCCGCCAATGTCCATCCAATCGCCTTCTTGCGCTTTTGAAGAACCGCCAAAGTGGCGTCAACCTGCACGTTAGTTAAGCAAGACGAAAGAATAACACGTAAAGTAGAATTTGAACCCCAAGAATTCATACCTGAGGTGTGGAGGAAGTGGCTTCAACTCCAACACTGATGGCTCCTCAATCGATGGCTTTGTTGGTGGAGTTTTGCGGTTTTCAAGATCCAAAGATAACTTTCTAGGCTCATATGAATATGAACCCATACCATGCAATGCATTCACGCACTCCACTCTACTAGCATCATCATGGACATCCATGTTAAGAAGCACGGCCTCAAGAGGATCTTCAACATTTATCATGGAACTTGTGTCATTCACTATCACAGGTGTGACAATGTCCACAAATGAACACACCTCTATGCTATTGGGTTGTCTTATTGATTTGCAAACATGGAATACCACCTTCTCATCTCCCACTCGGAATGTCAACTCACCCATTTCAACATGAACCAATGCCTTCCCCGTAGCTTGGAAAGGTCTCCCAAGAATAATTGGCACTTCAAAGTCCACCTCACAATCCAATATGACAAAGTCGGCCGGCAGTATGAATTTATCAACACGGACAAGAACATCATCAATTATGCCCAACGGTCGCTTCATCGATCGATCCGCCATTTGAAGTCTCATTGAGGTTGGCCTAGGTTGCCCGATTCCCAAAGTCTTGAAGACCGAATAAGGCATCAAATTAATGTTAGCCCCCAAGTCACAAAGGGCTTTGGAAAAAGCTGCACTACCAATAGTGCAAGGGATAGTAAAAGCTCCGGGGTCTTCAAGTTTCGGGGCCATAGAATGCACTATATAACTCACTTGATGCGTCATTTTAATTGTCTCACATTCCATCGACCTATTATTTGTTACCAAATCCTTCATGAACTTTGCATACCCCGACATTTGTTCAAGTGCCTCCACCAACAGCACATTGATAGTAAGACTCTTCATCATTTCGATGAACTTTTTGAATTGATTTTCACCTTTTTTCTTTGCTAACCATTGAGGATAAAGTGGAGGTGGCCTAGGCAAGGGTGCCTTGGCGTTTGGCACAACTGGCTCGGGCATGTCAATCAGATGTTCCCTAGACGGGTTCACGGCATTTTGCGTCTCTACCCCGGCTTCATCATCAATATCAATCCGTACATCATTGGTCACATTTTGTTCAACCACATCATCAACATTCAAAGGCACATCATCATCATGCAACTCAACTTCATCCTCCACAACTTGCTTATCTCTCGAGGCATGCACATCACTGCCTCTTCCACTTCTAGTTGTAACCGCTATCACATGGTTGTTATTCCCACCCTTTGGGTTCACTACCGTATCTCCTGGTAGAGCACCCTTTGGACGAGTATTCAAAGCTTGAGAAATTTGCCCTAGTTGCACCTCCAAGTTCCTGATTGAGGTGTTATGAGAAGACAATTGCGCCTCAGAATCTTGGTTCTTTTTCATCATTTGTTCGAACATGTTCTCAATTCTCCCCATATCACTCC